CTATCCGTAAAATCTGATTAAAATCCAGACAAAAAACTTCAAAAGTGAGAAGGCATTTTCCTTATAGAAGCCATATGCATTAAGCTAACTTGATGATGCTTTGGGGACCATTGGAGTGTTTGGAATTGCCAGGACTTATGTATCGAGTGAGAAACCTGGGTTTACACCTTGTATTTTGAGAAAGTGGAATGTGTATCTCAGGGGCTTGTAACAGACTGGGCCAACTCTTGGACTAAATAGTAAAGACCATAGGGACTCTTGACAAGCAAAAACTTAATAGTTAAGATCCGTGGTGTCAATTCACAATGAATTTTGGTAGTAGATAATGAAGAGTCTGCTGATCCAGTTAGATTTTGCTTTCTGTGCTAGGCCACGGATGGGTTATACAGTTCTGCTCCTCGCTGGAGAGATGCAGTTTTCTCTGGTTGCTTCTCCAATTTCAGTCTTGAAAATGTATTTTTTAAAACCATCAGGATTCCTTAGAAATACCTATTTCAAATGAAAAATCAGTACTCCCATGTGTAGCATGGAATGATCCTTGATGTTTTTTACTTACCGACATATAGAGCAGAACAGTCCATTTTGCAATGCAGAGCTATATTCTGCAAGTCCAATCAAGGAACTGTATTTCAGTTTGAGAATAATAGCCATTTCTGTACTTGGAAAATGTCTGTGAATCTTTTATGATGTGGTAGGTGTTCATAAGTAGAACTGCTAGGACAGGTGCATTGCTACATTGGAAATGCTGAAAAATTTGCATCGTGAAATTGTGGGAAGCTTTTCCTTCCTGTGGGATGGGAGAGGGCAGAAGACTAGACCCAAAGTCCTGTCTCTGTCAGTTTTTTATCAGTTAGATGATAGTATCTGATTCATCCTTCACTGACAAGCCTTCTCACTTGCTTTAGGAGCCCTTTTCTGTTTATCAGATTGGAGAGAGTCCGGTATGACCTCTCTGATCTGCCAATCGTGTTCCAAGAGTTCGGAGACCTAAAGGTTATCTTAGATGCTTGAGCTCGTGATACTGCTTAGAGTGACATGAAGAGGAAATCATGCAATTGCAAGCTTGCATAAAGCTCCCCTAAATAACTATTTCTGCCCGATTCCTTTTACTAATTTTAATTTTATTCACTTGTGTGTGCCTGGGATAATACTTTATTTCATTGCTTTGTCTACATTATTATATTCAGAGTCCCATCCTGTATGGCACTGATGCTAAATTTGATTTATTGGACCCACTGATGTTTTCTATTAAGTATTTTTTTTGATGAACAAGTTGAGCTACATTGATAAATGCAGTTCAGAAACAATATATGTTTTTTGTTGTGTGTGGGCTTTTTTGTTAACCAGACACAAAATTTAATTATCCTTAGCGTTACTTTACTGGTACATAAGCATGTGCAACTCTTATCCTGAGCATAGTAAGAGACAACTAGAAAGGATGAAACCAAACGAGGTGGGAAGGGGGGTGGTGTTGTTCACTTTGGAAATTTTTCTTTCAGCCTAGCATCCCAAACCCTAGACAGAAAAAAAAAAAAAAAAAAAAAAAAAAAATCAATATTTGTATGGGTATTATTGTCAGGCTGAAAAGGCCAAGCCTTTTGCTCCTTCAGGATAACGAGTTGTAAGGATTCTTCAGAGGTGCACATCCATGAGTTAGTTCTTTTTCAGGTATTTAATGCTGTATTGCTGAACTCAGCCATCCTGGAGAGAGCTGCAGATGGCAATCACCTCTTTTAAATTTGTGAGGGTTTCTTTTTCATTTGGAGTGAGATAGTAAAAGAATGACTTTTTCAATTTGATGAGCCTTGGAGCAAGTACGTTGCTTGCCTAGCAGTCATGTTTCTCAAGAGAGTTTTTTCCCCAGGCATCTCTTCGGATAAGTACTAAGGATCTTAAAATCATGTTTTGAGAGGCCAGTCTTATGAGCAGGTAGGGTAGTAAGAGTTTGTAAGCTTCATTTCTGCAGGCCCTTCTTTGCTGTGTTTTAGTGACAAAAAGGAGTGAGCTTACCCGAGGATTTTAAGAGCACATATTTCTAATAGAACTTGGCAGTTCAAGGGCTAAAGAAGCATTTTAATCTTTCGTGCCCACCCAGCCTCTATACAAATGTAAATATGTCTGTCTTTAACAATTTGCCAAGAAATGTGGTTTTAATTTGTTAGCAGCAATCCCACTCCCCGCAGCTCTTTCAGAGTCAAGTCACAAGTCTGGCGGTGCTTTGACGTTTTTCTCTGTCATGGTGTCATTGTTTATATGATGTCTGCTTCTGCTGTCCTCCTTTTTATGCCTGGAATATTTTTCTTTAATTATTTCACTGCCTAAAAGGAATTTGGGATTACTAGACAGGATGAGAGCAGATTAGCTTTTTTTCTTTCTTTAACAAGTCCTGAAGTTCCCATAGGAAATAAATAGTATTCCCAAAACAGACAGTGTTTTTTTATTTTTTTTTAATTAACTAAAATTATTAAGTCTAATAAAGAAAATAAAGGAAGTTTCACCAATAATGGCTGAGTGTCTTAGTAGTATATGGAGTGCCCATTGTTGTTATTTATGACTCTCTTTGCCTTCTATTGTGGACTTATTCCAGCCTTAGGGAGTTTACATCACTCCTAATAGCAAAAGGCTCTCTGGTTCCCACAGAGTCTTTCAAAGACTGACTCATATGCCTTATGTTAATTGTTCAGCTCTCAAAATACAGCACTTAGAGGGTGTGGTTCCAAGGGGAAAATCTACTGTATTTAGAGGGCATGTTCAGAAGTGTTTCACATATAAATCATTTTGATTTTTAATTTTTTTAATGCCTTAACCCTTTTCTGTCACTGCTTTATGTGATAAGTTATTTGAAAACGAAATAAAAAGTTGACGAAGGCATGGTGAGGGAATGTGTCAGTCCTGCAACTCTGGACCATTAACTCCAGTCTGACTCAACTCACCAGTGACGTGGCTTTGTCATTTTTGCCTCTCTCCAGGGTCTGCTCTTCACACCCCGGCATGACGGTACTCTCCGGGCAGCGATCATGCACTGTTCAAAATCAGATGCAAGTTAGAACTGAGGTTTATTGTTTATCTGCAGTAGTGAGTACGCGGGGACAGGAACTGTTCCCAGTCCTCCCCTGGAGTCTGTAGAAAGTGCCACATTCCACCCCTTGCTTACTACATCTACGGGAATTGACTGAGTGGACTGGCGATCCTGTCAGTCTGCTGTGTTGATGTTCTCAGCTGAGGACTGAAGAATATTCAACAGAATTAGCCTTACCGGTTACCATAAAGCAGAACAAGGACAGTTCAAATGCTTCTGCTGGGCGCCTCTGCTCCGGCTAAGGAAGGGTGTTTGCTCTCCAGCTGCTTTGGGGCAGAGTGATTGTGCAAGAGCCTTCAGTCTGAGTTGTGTGAATGTTACTGGAAATCAGAAGAGTTTCTACAGACTTCCCAGTCTGTGCCTTCTTAAAAGTGAACAAAGCTCTTGAGTAGCTTACTAATATTCCCTTCTTTAAGAGTTGTCAGGATATGAAAATTCATTTAGTCAAATTAGGGGAGTCCGTCCCTCTAACAAAAATAGAAGCAGCGATTAATCTCTCAGATTAAACTAGTTAGGCTTGATTTCTGAGGTTGAAATCCCATTGCATGTATGTCCCGTGTGTTTTCTGCCTGCTGTAAACACACGTGTTGCAGCATTAGTGGACAGAACTTCACGCATCTGTCAATACACGCAAAAATGTTTGTGTAATTTGCCTTTGAAAGGAAGGCTCAAAACAGCTGTAGTTTTTTTAAACTGTCAAAATGGCTTTATTTCTTTGCCTGACTACCCTCTTTCTGCTTACAAAACAGGAAGTTGTTTGCACTGGCTTATTTTGCTGGAAAGAGCGGTGAGGTTTACACCCCCCCCTCTGTTAAGACAGAAATAAAAATAAAAACGGGCAGGGCTTAATCCCCTGTAAGTGACGGGTTCCTGAGGGGTGTTCCAGGCAGCGGTCATGTACACGCTTTGGCCTTGCCCCCCCCCAGTCTTGCTCTACTTTCTTTGGTTCTTTCATCCCGCCTGGCTCCAGCGTGCTGGCTTCACAGTGCGGAGCAAGAAATGGTATAAATAGGCACTCCCTCCAGTTGGTGAGCCCCAGTCAGAAGCTGCATCAGACAGGCCGAGGAAGAAAAATGCTATCAAAGAAAAGGGGATGCACAAAGCCTCTTCTCTTCTTGACTTTGCCACGTTTTGTCCTCTCCTCCTCCTCTCCATAGCCTCAGAGATAATACTTTGTTGAAGTATGGGGTAGTTAATAGTGAAGTCGGCAAATGGCCCTTCTCTCACTGAGATTGTTTCATTGTGAAAGGAAGTGCTCGCAGCTTGAAGAAAAAGAGCATTTTCCTTCCCTCCCTCTCACCCTGATCTCGTATTATATAAAACCATGGTGCTGCTGTTAGCTGAGACCAGGAAGAATTCCCCTGTTGTCCTGTAGTAGCCAACCACTACAAGCTGTGAGTGTTTCAATGTTAGTATTAAAAGTTTTAACCCTTGCCTTCTTAAATGAGCAAATAACACTCTGTATATTTTCTTGTAAGTACGGAAAATTATGGGAATTCTTCTGAGAGTAAGTGTATAGACCACTGCGCCAGTCAGTCTCTTCAGGAAAAAAAACTGACAAACATGCTCCTGTCTGCAAGAGAGATTCCTGGCATTTGTCACAGTTTGAGCCACAAAGATGTCAAATATTTGCCAACGGTTTCCTCAGACGGTTTGGAAAGCTACATCCTTTACATTACAGTCTTGTTTGTTTGCGGTATATTTTAGCATATGAAATATGTTTGTTGGGAGTCTGAAAGGGGAGGGTACTGACTAGACTTCCAAATATTAAAAGATTAAAAATAATTCTGTTTCTCTTAGACTGCTCAGATCAAAATAATAAAGAACATCTGTAAGTCTCAGTATTAGAACCGGAGTTTTAAGTTGAATAATCATAGCTTGATGTGTTGTGTTTTAAACCTGCATTTTTCTTTTGGAGCAGAAAGAAGAACTTTCCAGTGGGACGTCTGAATATTTTACTGAAACTGCTGAGAACAAGAAGCGTAAGATTAGTCGGAGTGAACAAATAAAGCAAGACATCTTGAAAGAAATGTATGTCACTATTCTTTCCAAGGCGTTAAATTTATAATCTGGTAAAATTTGAGTAAATAGCATCTAGCCTGTGTAGTAAAATTTCAAATAATGTAAACTCCTTTACAAAAGATTATTTGAAATTACAAAGAGACTACTACTCTAGTGTGGATAAGCACATAAAAGGATGGTTGTTGTTTTGTACAGCATCAAAAAAAGCTATTACAACCCACACAGATATCTCACATAGCGCTAGGCAGAATCAAAACAGGGTGTTTTTTCCTTGAATAAAGCTCTGAGCCAAAATAAATACGTGATGTTTGAAACTGGTGAAAAACACTTTGCAGATATATTTTTTTTGTTCATTTTGAGCGTCTGCAGAGGACCACGATACTAGACTGGATCTTTAGTCACAACTAAAGAGTGTCCCTGGTGTAGTGGACGGGGAGGGTTAGGTGGTCAGCCGAACATTTTACTAGTGGGCTGCTGTACCAGGATGTCATTCTTACTTGTGTAAGCTGACAGTAACCCCAAATCAACGTGGAATCAGGGATTTGCTGTCAACCCTGACACCTTGTATTTTTGCCCATGTTTTATTCGTTGCTGTTGTCTTTAGAAATAAGATTAGATTGGAAGGTATGCCAGCTCTACCTGTTTTGGAAGAGACCTCTTTCTGAAGGCCTGGGAACTGCTCAGCATCAGCAGAGCAGCAGAAAGCGGTCTTGGCAGGGGATGTTCTGCAGTATGATCTTTAGACTCAAAATCTTGCGTAGGCAGCTTCGGCACTTGTGCGTAAAGTTCATCTTCTAACCTATGTGAAATGTAGATTTGTAGGTAACAGGCTGCTGAGGAGTGTTTATGTACTGACACTCCGTCAGGTTCCTTGTGATCCCATTTTCCTGTATAATTCCTTTTAGAATATCATCTACTTGCATTACCCAAGTCCTTCCCAGATGAACGGGCTTGATACCAGATGAGTAGTGGTTAACTTTAAAGTGATGCTTTGAAATGTCCTGGGAAAAATTCCAGGGGAACATTCTAAAATAGAGATTAGAAACTCTCACACAGAGACGCACATGCCGCCTCTCTCTGCCTGCCCCCCTCTACTCTTTAGATATACGTTACGCATGTGAATATATGGGAATGGTTTGAAATCATTTAGGCACTTATGAAATACTATTTTATCTAGCCAGCCTGGGAGGGAATTCAACATACTTATGCTGTGTTGACCTTTAACATCTGTAATGAATCCAGTTCTGCCTCTTGGAATAGAATGTGAACTCCTTCATGGCTTAGTCATTAATAAATAGGGTTCCCCTAGTGCAGTGGAAAATCAGATGGATAACATTTGATATTATCCAAACTAGAGAAACGCTGCTTGTCAAGATGATACACAGGTTTTCTTTCCCACATTCAGAAAGAGGGTTGCCCTAATGGTGTTTCAGAGTTTGTAAGACGGGCAGATTGAGGCAGTGAAGGTTCTTTTTCTTTTTTTTTTTTTTAATTTAAAAAATTTCCTTTTTTTTTGCAGTGTGAAAAGGACAAACCCAAGGAAAAGTAGCACAAGCAAGCCTCAAATCAGCAAGGAATCCAGGAAAGTGTATCTTGGCTCAGTGGACTCGCAGAGAGGGAACAGAAAGAATGACTGTCAGACTTCTCTCAGTCCTCAATCTGAAGTGAAATGTAGGAGTAGGGGACTGCTAAAGGACTGCATAAATACAGCTGAGAGCAACTTGGAGTTTCCTGTTTCAGAGCTGGAAAATTATGTTAATCAGAGACAGACAGATGATGTTAGCAGCCAGAAAAAACCTCACTCTGTGGAGTGGTTGAATTTGAGGCTTCTAAGCGAGAACCTTCCTTGTAGCTCTGAGTCAGCACTGCTAGGTCCAAAACAAAGTCAAAAAGTGACCAAAACAGAGGCTCAACAAAAGAGCTGTGGCTCAGAGGAAAAGTTAGAGCGTTTCAAAAAAGCATTCTCTGAAGGGACTCCTTTGATTCCTAGCAATACAGAAATAAGTAAGTTTGATGATGATCGTTTAGGTCCATTCCTGGAGGAGAAGACCCCGCTTAATTCCAGGATGTTTTGCAACGAAGATGTGCCAAAGACTGCGTCTGGTGAGAAGTCACTAACTTTGAGAAAAAACCTCTCCCAGCCTCTTTCTGTGAGGAACAATACAGTGGAGGCAGGCCAGAATGAGCCGAGCACAACCACTGAAGAATTGCCTGTGATGCCATCCTCACGCTTAGAACTGCAGCCTGGGTCTTCAGAGGAGCTTATCCAGAAAAGAAAAAAAGAAGCTGAAAGTGGTCTCCGGAAGTTAAAACTGCGAAGGCTTAAGAAGTCCATGAAGTGCGAAACACCACGTTGATGGCATGGGCGGACAGCCACGTCTGTATTCAGAAAGCATGTGCAAAAAGTAGGGAGCAATTCAAACCAATGAAAAATAATAAGAATTCAAAGTCAAAATTAGATAAAACTGTTTAAGAAAGCTTAGTTAACTGTCTTAGTCATTTGGAACTGTAATGAAGATGATTTTAAGTCTTTAGGAATTAGACATTAATATTCTACAAAATGGTGTGGTTTTTACAGCAAGAAAAATATCATATTTACAAAGCAAAATTTTAGATCTGTGTATGTTTTAGTACTATTAAAAAGTCTTATCAGCTGATGACAGCAAAAGTTAAAACCACTTTTGTGATCTGTTAGCAGCTGCAGTTATTCAGTGATTTGTTTCTGAACGCATAGTTTATTATAGTAAAAATCAATCCTTTCTCAGTATTAGGAAGTTCATGGCTTATTCATGTGATCTTCCCAACAGTAAGCTGAATTGGGGTTGTTTCAAATAAATCTTTAACCAGGATTTAGTGTTCCTCCTAATTTAAGTCCTGCCTTTTCAGTCGGGTTTCAAAATCACTATAATTCCTGCTTGTGCAATTTTGCTACGAACATTTACTTCTAACCCGCGTTGTGGATACAAGTGTTCATGCATTCAGGCTTTGGAAAAATGAGGATTGGTTTTTACATATGCAGTCACCGGGGTTTGCAGGCATGGCTGCTGGGAAAAGCTCGTCCATAACCGTGCATACGCGTCTTCAGGCAGTCATGTTTCAAAATGGGGCCTTGTTTGTGTGCAAGGGCAACATGCTGGTTTTCATGTATTAGCGATGCCCAAGTTATTTGTTACTTTAAGATAGAGGTAATTTTTAATTGCACGGTGCTCTTTCATCCTGCTTTTGTAACTTATGTGCTAAGGAGCTAAGGAAATGTAACTTTTTATTCTGTGCTTATTTTTTTTTTTTTTAATGTTTAAAATAAAATTATAAGCACTTTTCTGTCATCATTCTCTTAAAATCAGTGTGACCACAGACATTTTATGTGAAGTAATTTTGAAAAATGTCACTGACACACACTTACGACTGTGGATATCCTCATTTAGGTTAAGAAGAAGGTTCACATCCACAAGCATTAGAGTTGGCAGTGTAATACTGGTCCTTATGGGAGTTAGCCACTCGGCAGTGGACAGCAAGACACCGTGAACTGAACAGCATCTTTCTGCTATAAATAACTTCTGCCTTTGCTACAAACGAAGAAGATTCTGCATGCCTGCTAGAAGACATTTTCTCTTTTTTTCTTCCAGCCTGTTTGCATGATGTTTCTCGCAGTGCTTTGCAATAAGGTTGCTAATGCTTTCCGATCGCCAGGGTCTGCAAAGAGGTCTGTCCTGGTAACAGCAAAACCAAGCAGGGTTTGGAGGAAGAAAAGCCTAAGGCAGCGTGTTTACTGTTGCCTTTTGCATGGACTCATACTGGGTCAGGAAAGGAGTAAAAAGAACCTTTTTGATGGACTCGAAAGAGGTATAAGGACGTTTTAATTAAGTATTTATCAGAAAATTAAGACTATTAGAATAATGGGATAGTTTCTATTAAAGTCTTAGCGTAGATTTTCTGGATGGTTTCTTTAAGTTCTTATTTCAGTGAATAATGATAAAAAATTGTACAAGCATATATTCTAGACCTCAGTTTTAAACTACCTGGTCTTGGTTGCAACAGCTAGCTAGCTACAAGAGAGGTTTAGATGATTATGCAGCAACAGACACTTGTTGAGTTTATAAAATCAGTTCAGTTACTTTTTAAAATTTCATTCTGGTTAGGAAAAGGACCTTATGCTTGCTTTTGCACACTGGCAAACGCACTGCTTGTATCTCTGAAAACTGCGGATGGCCTTGAGCAAGTACCCCCCAAACGGCTGCTGCTAACGGCTTGGGCTGTCGAAGCTTCCCTTCTGCTTGAATCTGTCCTCTGCTAGTCCATTTAACTCAAGCATGAGAAGCCAGAGGGCAACACATGGAGTTAGTATCGTCGCATACTGTTGTTGTAATTATAAGGTTGAACGATATATAACCCCGTTTACGTGAGTAACATACCTGCATGCACCCTTACAAATGAACGCCATACATTTAGGGGGGGCTTGGGTAGATGAAATGCTTGTCTCTGTAGCTAAGAACACTTGATTTTTCCTTTAGAATAGTTCATGTTTCTTGAAATGCCTTTTTCCATCACCTCCCTGATAGTGTGGGAGCATCCTCCTTTTAAAGCAGTGATTGTGCAACAGGAAGAAATATAGGGCTGGGCTGATTAAAGGTGTTAGAGCCTAGAGGGGCCGAACAAATACAAGTGGTCTCTCTCAAACGTGCATGGCTGCATCGTTCTCACTGCAATTACGGGCTTCTTCGGTTCCTGGGCTCTTTGTAGCTGTGTACTCAGAGCTTAGTTACTTTAAAATTTGTCTTTTGGGTCCTCTCAGAAATGCAGTTACTCGGGGAAAAAGCTTTGAATTTATGGCTCGCTCTGGGTTGTGGATGGTGGTGTTGCTCAGATCTGTTCTTTCTTTTGTCTGTGCAGCAGGAACATGATGAAAGTTTCCCTTTTGCAAACCCTGTGGGTGCTGTGACATCCAGGCTGTGTTGTTACCGTAGGTCTCGGTTATCTCTGTGCTTTAAGCCCAAGGTCGTCTTCTCAGTCTTTGTGTTTATCAGCAGCAATCCACCTGCACGCAGGTGACTGGTGGAGGTGTGGTCTGACATGCTCTTGAACCACAAACCTGATTTCCTAAATCAGGTTTAGAACAACAAAAAAAAAAAAAAAAAAAAAAAAAAGAAAGCAAGCTGCAAACTGAGCTAGAGTAAAATTAACAGTTAGCAAGTCTTGGCTGGGGCTGTCTATTGCCAGTTAGCTTCTGAGCAGCATTAGCATGGCTTTCTGTTAAAAGTAATAAATATTTAAGGCTCTGTCCTGTTCTGAAACTGCCATTGAAGCACAGAAACAGTTCCTTTGGTTCATTTTTTTCTTTTGTGTGTGTTTGCTATGTTGGCTTTTTTTCATTTTTAGAGCTTCTTTTAACTCCTCTGAAAGAGGTGTAGGTCTGAGACTGGCTAAAGCTGACAATGCAGCGCCCACGTTGAAAAATACACCTTTGGCTTAAAGAGAAATAACTCTCTGTTCCAAACCAGCCAGCTTTGGTTTTGGTTTTGTTTGGTTTGTTTGGGTTGTTTTGTTTTGTTTTGTTTTTTAAATGAATTATCTGGTTAATTTGGCCTGTGCTGTTTGCTGATAGTGAAACAGTCCTTTCCCAGCCAAACACTTTCTAATGTGTTCAGTCTATCGTTTCCATTATTCTTTACATCAAAGCAGTTAAAAATATTTGTTTAGTGAACTTTTGTCTTTAAACACACATCAAAAGCTAGACCAGCCTTTTACGTATTTATTTATAAATAGGAAGCAGGCTGCTGTAAAATCTCCCTTGCCCAGTGTTGATCAGTAGGAAGGTTTTAACTATCACAAGAGTTGTTTTGAGTAATAAGCTTTGTGCTAGTTCTGATATTATCTGTCAGGTTGTAGTTCTGCACACCAGGGTCTCGAGCGTGTGTTGGTGTGTTATTACAGTGGCATAGCTGCGTTTCTGTGTTATGCTCGACTTGAGTAATTTCAAGAGCACCTGTTTCTGACAAAAAAAGGAAAACTTTAAGCACCAAAACTTTTCCTGGCGACAGAAGTTTTTTGACCAAGTGAGGTGTTAAGTAGCCTTCTGCAGGCGTTTATTTTGTCAGTGTGAACTTCCCTTCCTCTCGTCACTCTGCACGTGGGTCGCATTGGCTGAGTTTTAATTGACATTTCTATATCAACGTCTCATCGGCTTTATGACTGGAAAATGAATTATTTTTTAAGGAAAAGGACGGAGGAAATATTTTTTCGTTTGCAATTGGACTAGGAAGGATGTAGAATGCAGTTAGACTGTTCCAGATTGCATGTTAGTAGTTATCTCCTTGCCTGTATCGGCACCTAATAACAGGTTTCGTACTGTATTACAACATTCTAACACAGGCTTGGGCGAACTGAGTTCATGGTATCAAGAGCTGCTAGCAGTGGGAGGTGTGGGTTGGCCTCAGCCATCAGCTTTCCTAAAAGGCACTCCTCACTTCTTTGCTTTCTGCCTTTTTTTTTTTTTTTTTTTTGTTACCCTTCTCTGATAAACATTAGCTAGCGTCCGCAAACCGATGTGAAAGGGAAGATGTGGGACGGGAGAACAGCAGCGCGCGGAGCCTTTCATCCAAGGGATATCAAAGCGTTCTGCAGCTGAACCTGGGAGGGATATGAATATGCTTATTTTGACAGTTGAGGGTGAGCAATTTCTTCATGGTAACGCAAGCTGGTGAAGGAACTTGCACTACAAATTCTGTCATCAACTACTTCAAGTATTTTTAAAGACAGCTTTTCCATTGTGGTCACTTTTTTCCCCGGAGAATTAAAATGGAACCTGGTAACACACGACCTTGTCCTTTCCACAGTGGCAAGAAGGTGACGTTTTTAGATGGGAACTGGTTGGTTGGTTGGTTTTTGATGGCTAACGCTGAGAAATCATAAATGAGTTGTGAAAATGATGTAGCGTTGCAGGGCATTTCAGTTGCAACCTGGAGATTGCCCAGGGAATTAACCTCCACCATCCTACCTCCTTTAATATCCATTTAAATGATTCCAGAGCTGGGAATTGGTTCCTGTGGGGGAGCTGACAGTGCACCTTTTTTGAAGGAGAATTTCACTGATTTTCTGCCATTCTGTCAGTTAGAGCCTTTAGTGTAGCTGAAACATAGTACTTCAGTAGTAGGAACGGGTAGTTTAGCTCCATAACTGCTTTATTTGCTGCCGTAGTAATTATCTTTTTTTGATTTATGCATCAGATCATTAAAGAGAAGAGTCTTGAGCTCTAATTCTAGAGATGGGCATGCCCCTTTTTAATATTAATATGATCTCATAGCCCTAGAATGAAAAGAAGGGAGATTTATTTCTCCACCCGGTAGAGCAACTGGTGGCAGCAATTTGCACATCACAGAGAAGGCTCTCGCCGGCAGAGCTGGGCTGGGGCTCTGCTCTGCCGCCCTGGCCGGTACCACACGGCTCCTCCGCTGCCCCAGCGCGGGCTGAGCCGGCCTCAGCCTCCGTTCACACACCTTGCAGGACCTTCGCCGCTTCCCTCCTCCTCACCCCCAGAAGCTGGGATTCATTCTTGCACAGCTATTAGGAAAATACATTTTTTTTTGTTGTTTTGTTTTTTTTTTTTTCCCCCCCCCAACCCTTGGAAGCGAATGCCGTGTGCGGTGCTGCACAGTAACCCTGATGAACGGCCGCTGTTGTCGGTGCTGGGAAAGGGGAAGCTGCCAAGTCCTGAAGCGTACTCGAATATTCTTGCTCTGTTTAGAAGGGGAGGGGGAAGCTTACGCAATCACTTCCATCTTCTGGGGAGGAAAAGGCTGAATTTGGCACTTCCCTCGTCAGAACTTCTCGTCTTCGCGTACGCTAACAAAACCGTGGGGCCTCTGCCCTGCGACTTGTTCCCGAGGGGCTCAGCAAAGGGCCAGGGCGGCGGGGCTGGGCCCCGGCCGGGCGAGGGGCCGGGGCCGACAGCGGCCGGTAGGAACCTCCATCGTGCAGCCTTCAAGGAGCAAGGGAGAGCAGAACCTTGTACGTTTTCTAGCCGGGCAGAGCACTGATCGGTGATCCTGACTCTCGCTGTGCAGGCGTGCCGGCTGGGGTGAGGGCAAGCGGAGTTTCTGTGGGGAGGGAAGGAGCCCCCTCAGCGAAATGGCGTGGAGATGCCCGCCTCCTGCTCAGGCCCCGAACTGGGTTTACGTCAGTCGCTCGCTGGGCTCCGCGTGTACAAGCACTAGTCGTTCGCTCCTGTTAGCAAAGAGCTGCTCCCAAGGCTGCCTTTCCCCCAGGGACGTGAACGCCTCGGCTGATGGAACGTGCCCGACCGGCGCCTTTTCGCCAGTTCCCTCTGCGT